GGTGGGGGGCGGGGAGGCATGCAACGGAGGAGCGGGTGCAGTGGTCTCAGCCCTTATGATGAGGGCACTGAGATGGGTGTGAGGCTGTCTGATCTGATCTGCAGGGCAGGGAACCTCTAGAGAAGCAGATGGCAATCGAGTGTTAGGGGTCTGAGGGCTTCGGCGGCAGCTGTAGGAGATCTGTCTGTACAGTTCTGCACAAGCAGCCAACACCCTGGGGGAGGGACTGCACACAGGTCAGGCAAGCAGTCTTTGGTTTACAGAAGAGCAACTAGGCAGCTAGCCCCTGGACTGACAGAGACGGTGGAGGCAGATAACCCTGTGGCTAGGGGAACCACATCTAGGGCTCCCAGGGCTCAGGTGATGGATAGTCATGGTTCTGGAAGAAAAGAGATGCATGCAAGAAAGGGAAATGGAGAGTTTCATGAAGAGAGTATTTTCAACGGAGGGGACGGGATTAAAGAAAACTGACCTGGGACCCACTGTGCTGCCAAGTGAGGCTGAGGGAGGAGTTAACACTGGGCCTGCTGGGTCAAGGGCAAGGGGCCTGTGGGAATTGTCTCTCAGGGGGTTTTGACATAGAGAGCTGTCGGGGTGGCTATAAGAGAGGGCCACCAAACAGAAGGTGCGCCCCCTGAAGGAGGAGCAGAGCCACTGCCAACGCAGGCCGGGCAGGGAGTGAGCCCAGGCGCACACAGACACATCCTGTCTTCTGTTCCGTGGCCAGATGCAGGGGATACACTAGACAGCCCTCAGAGCACAGCTCAGGACGCACACGCATGGCGAATGAATTTGCTGGGAACATACAAGCACTGAGAACATACAAGCTCACCCTAGGAGAGAAGGACACAGAAGCCCAGAAGTCGCACTTTGCACTCCTCAATGTGAGTCCGTGGAGATACACCTGCTTCCGGTGGGAGGGAGTTTCTTAATAATCTAGATTATATTCTTTCCCCTCCCCCACCCTCCAGTTGGACCCAGGTACTGGAGCTGGTCTGAACTCACAGGTGGGAATCATCACTGCATTTATAGTGAAGCAGAGGAGACGGAGGCAGGGAAAGTAGGAGAGGGGTGACCAGCCAATACAGCTCTCAGTACCCGACAAATCTCAAAAGTATGTCCATTCTAATACTTGTACTTGATTCTCAGGGCACCTTTTAGCGGGTCAGGTCAGCATTTTCACGTTTTAAGCACCATTCAGAAAGCTGAGGAAATTTAGACTGCCCAATAAGCTGCACCAACTCCCCCACTTGCAGCATACTGCCCACATGAATCACAAAGAAATTTGGTTAGAAGAAAATCTACTACCATTAGAAGAAATTTCTGTTCAAAGGGGCCTGGGGAAGTCTCCTTCACCAGCACAGAGCACACCTCAGCACCTCCCTCCCCCTGGGCTGGAGCCGTTCTCACTGGGGGGTCAGGTGCCACTGACTTCAGCAGGTCTTACTGCTCTAGACTGTTTCCTCCTGCTGCCCTTCCCTAGTCACCACTGATGCTGGAGAAGAGAACATGTAAACAGCTAGTGCTGGCCACAGCCAAGGCTACTGCCACTTCCCTGGTCTCTTTCTTTTAAAGCTCCCCCAGCCAATGGGTTCCCTTCCAGCTCCCCCAGTTGCAAAAGTTGCTTGCCTGCTTGCTTAATTAGGCTTATTTAGCTTCTAGGCTGTAGAAGTTCAGGCCACAGTAAGGGATTCAAGGCTGCCACTCCCCCAGCACAATCAGCAGGGGAGCCCCCAGCACCATGGAGCCCCCAGCACCTCAGCTCTCTCCTGCCTTCCTTCTCTACCAGGTACACCTAGAGAGCTGCAAAGAGCCTCTGTCTTCTCTCTTGTTTGATATCGCAGTCCTGGTGCTAAATATCCATCTCTGCTTTTCCCTTCACTACCTTTACCCACTAGGGTTCTTCAGTAAACGTAAGTGTCATGAATGCTTCGCAAAGGTGACATGATGTCAAAAGATATTAAATTGGTGGCAGCAGTCACATCTGTGCTCATAGTCTCACTTTGTCTCATGCTACACAGCTTGATAGGCTCATAAGAGAATCTGGGACCTTCCAAAAGCAGTTTCTGGAATAGCAACACAAATTGTTACCATTATAATAAAAAGTCAGTATTTATTGAGACTAACTAGGTCCCATACATTAAACTGTGTGGTTTATACATTTATCTTTAACCTCCACAGCAGCCCAAAGTACTATGTATTGTTATCTTCATTTGAGAAATTAGGTTAGAGTGTTTAGATAAATATCCACCAAGATTAACAGCTAGTAAATTGTAAAGACAGGATTTGAATTTGGGTGTCCTGGACAGGGTAATCTTAGTTCCTGAAATGCCTCCTGACCCATTATGGGCCTCTGCTGTAAGGGAGGACCAATGCGTCTTACTATGCAGAGGAACAGGAATATATTCATTTAAAACAATAATAATGTCCTGAAACTAATGTAACATTTGTGTCAACTCTACCTCAGTAAACAGATAAAGAACAATTCCAAATAATGGAATTCATAGCATCATGAATGTGAAAATAAAATGTCTCAGTAAACAAGGCATGTGGGTCTGAGTTTTCACCTCATTCATATCTGTGTATTCTCAGACGCATTTCTCAGATGCATTATTCTCTTGGAATACTACATAATTTACATATTTGCCTTTCACAGCACTTCTGGAACTATTTAAAGTTCAGAAAAATTATTCATCTCACAGCCTCATTGGTACATTAATTATTATAAAAATTATTAATTCAGTATTTGTGTTTAAGTTGGAAAAGTCCTTTCCCTAAAGCGCCATTTCCAGTTTCTGATCTTTTTTTAAAAGTTTATTTATTTATTTTGAGGTGGGGGAAGGGGCAGAGAGACAAGGAGAGAAAGAATCTCAAGCAGGCTCAGCACTGTCAGCGTAGAGCCCAACATGGGGCTCGAATTCATGAACCTGGACCATGAGATCATGATCTGAGCAGAAATCAAGAGTTGGATGCTTAACCAACTGAGCCACCCAGATGCCCCTCCAGTTTCTGATCTTAAGCGTGTCCAGTAGAGCTCATGGCTGCTGTCCACATGGGCCCTCCAAGATGTCATGACACGTCTTCCTAGCTTTCTAACACCCCACTGTGATGCACACTCTTTGCCTTCTCAGATCCATAGACATCAGCAGCAGCCCTTGACCAACTCAACTGTAGTATGACCTCTTTTTTGAAGACGTTTTTCTAAATGACTACAACTCCATCCCTTTAATGCTCAACAGAACATCTTTCCTGCCTTTCCTCTCCAGTCAATGCAGAGAGTACCCCTGACATTATACTCTATTACTATTCACTGCTTACTCTGATGTTACGTATCATTTGCTTATTTTTCTGTACCCATTAGCATTTTATTAGTTTGTCCCTAATTATGATAATTTAATGGACTAAACATGGAAAGAAAAGCAACACCACAGGAGTATAGAAGATGTAAAGAAGGTGGCGAGGGGTGTCGAGCAGAGGGAGGTACTTGGGGAGTTATAATAACAGTTGTTGACTCAGGCCACCCAGTGCCCTAGAGGCTGACTCCAAAATTGGTTTACATACTGTATAGCAACACAGCCCATGCCCACACCCTCCCTCATTTAAAGGCTCAGCCTTCCAGAGACTCCAGCCCAAGGTTCTGTATTACAGAACTATGCTTGGAAAAGGTAGCCTGGTCTGGCAGGTCGTGATGAAAGCAAGGTAGAGCAGCCAGTGTCGATGTCCTTTACACTGATGACTTTGACCAGAGGAGTCAACAGGAACATCAGCAGAGACCAGCAATTTCCTCGGGAAGCCAGGCAATGCCCAGTCTCTCTTCCCCCAGCCAAGATGGTCTGAGTCCAGAGCTTACAAACTAAGTGCCACACAGGCAGAGCAGGTGATGTAAATGAGTGAGGTGATCTGGAGTGTGAAAATCAGGAGTACACCTGCAAACTGTAGTGTTCCTTCCCAGCAGAAAGAGCCAGCCACTTCTCAGTTTACCCCACTTATTACCACATAGGATTGTGGTCTGTGTTGCCAGCTCCTCTGATTTTCCCAGAGAACTCAAAAACCCAGATTTTCATGTGAAGTCTGCCAGTTTTGAAATGTTATTGGCAATCTTTACCTATTTTTAAACTACATGTGCCCTTGACACGCAGGTGTGACCTAAAGACTGACAGTTTGCAACCCCTGCATGGTGCCCAAAAATCAAGGTCAGCTTCTTCTTTCTTTACATGCTCTTACTGCTTTTTCTCTGCCTTCTCCTCTTCTGTGCTGGCTCACATCATCCTAATCCTTCCATCCAAACCCTTGCTCCCTTCGCTAATGCTGTCCTTTTAGCAAAATTCCACTTCATGATTATATAAAAAGACCCAACCCCTCGGATCAAACACAGCAATTTATGGAAAATCAAAATGAGTAAAAATTTTTAAACCTGGCATTAAAAACCACCTAGTAGACTCCTCTGTCTCCTGAAGCCACTTTAGATGTATTAATATTTCAAAGGTTCATACTTGAATTTATTTTTTATTCCTATTTGATATTGCCTCATACATATGTGGTCTTTTTCTCTTTAAATTCTTGAGGTGAAAGTGTCGCTTCAGCTTCTCCTGTTCAACCACTTCCCAGAGGCCCCCCAGTTCCTCTCCACAAATGTAAACATGCTAACATTCCAGTCCTCTCTCTTTGGAGGCAGCTGAGAGTCGTTCCAGAAGCCCCTTTGGACTTTCTGGGGATTCTAACCTGTCTGAGGAACCATGACTGTGACTGGAAGCTCTCTGAGGGAATTCTGCGGATATTTACCTAGCACCTCAGCAATGCAACTCTATGCCAACACTGAGAGGTGTTTTCATCCCTCATTTCCTGGATTCGTCCTGAGTTCTGGCTACTTCACAGAAAGAAGATGTCAAAAACAGGGCCAATCTTGCATCAAGAGAGAGTAGATGATCACCTATTTGCTGAAGCTTTATTAAAAAAAAAAAAAAAAAAAAAAAAACAATTAAAATGAAAAACTTCCCTACCTGTTCACGATGGCTAAAACCTCAGGCCAAGTTTTTCATTCCACCATGGAAGTGCGGGAGACTGTTCCCCAGGGAAAAGCATCAGCAAACATCAGTCCATCCTGAGGGGTAGATACCAGGTGTCAGGCATTTTCCTGAAAAAGCAAGAGGCAAGTGAGGAAAGATAGGGGCCATGAAGTCAGTGGGAGTCCCCACAAGGAAGGGACAAGGAACCTGAGAAGAGAGACTGGGCGGCCACTGCACAATTTTGCCTGGATTTCTTTCCTACTGTCCTCCCACTTCACTCCTCCAGCAACCCTGGAGCATACTCTGGACCTTTGCCTGCCCGTTGGGGACAATTTGGGAAAATACTTTAATACTTCCTCCAGTCCCTAAGGCAAGATCAAAACCCTAACCCACCTTTCAGCCCCACGACCCCCACACCACCATTCAGGCCGCGGACACAGACAATGCAGGAGACAGATGAAATCTGCTGAAGTGTTCTGCTGCTAATTCCTGAGGCAAGCCCTTTCTTGCGGAGGAATTTCACTTTCCTGGTCCAACAGAGATACAACCCAGAGGGCAAACTCCCATGGTGGGTATAATTCTTTGGGTGAAATGTTTAGAAGAGTCCTGCCAACACAAAGCAGCAATTTCCATGCAAATTCATGCCTATGGGGGAAAATGTAATTGGCCCAACAACCACACTGATGGGACCTCCCCTTCCCACTCCAGTGGGGTGTAGAGGCAGGGCTTGAAGGAAGAGATCTATCTGTTCAGCTTTTCTCCCTCTGAACGTGCCAAACATAAATGACTCCTGTGTTTCAAAGGGGTGTTACTCCCCACTGCTGCTCAATGACAAGGACTGCAGGGAAATGGGAAGTCAAGTTCCCCCTCCTTCTCAGCGGGATCACAAGAACAAAGGCAGTGTTTTGTTGTTTTTTTTAAGAAAGAAAGAAAGAGTCAGGGCATTCATGTTTTGTGAAACCAAAAAGGCTGGTTTACCATGTGGAGTTTACAGAGAAAAATCATCACCATCACCATCATCATCATCATCATCATCATCATTCACTAACTTTGGTTAATTGGAGGGGACGACAGTGCTTGAACCCACCCATATGGATTCTGATAGGCACGCTGGGGCAGTGGCAGATGTAGTGGTGGAAAGAGTTCAGGATCAGTAGATTGTTCTGGTCTCCACCACTAATATCAAGATGAACTGGGGGCAAATTGCAATAAGTGTGATGGAGCTGAACTAGTTCAGGGGTGTTTAAGTTGAGGTACAGGTACACTTGCCCTGGTGCATGAAGACTTTCCAAGGGAAGCGATAACTTTGGGGAATCAACTGCTAAATCTTCAGTCCTCTTTTCTGAAATTAATTTGTCTAAGATCATGCCACAAGGACTTTTTTCCCCCGGTAGTTCTCTTTCTACTTTGCAAGGAAAGCATACCCTTCGCCCACCACGGTCCTACTCAGGTGCATTGTCCTGGGGTGTCAGAACATCCATGGCTTCCTTCTGAGGGAGAGTCCTTTGAGAGAAAGGCAAGAGAGGTTCAGAAACATATTGAAAGCAGGGGAAAAACTCATTGTGAGCCTCTTTTGTTCCTTCTTCCTTCCCCTCACTTCCTTCTTTTCTTCCTCCACTCTTTTTTTTTTTTTTTACCTTTATATGTTCTATAGTTTATTTGGCATGTAATGAGTGTGAGATGCTCTTCCTTCACTTCTTAAGAGTCAGAATTCAGGAGCAAGAAGATTTCAAAGGGTTGCATGCTAACACCCTTCTTTGAATTAAAAAATGAAGTGAGATTTTTTTTCTGACATAAAGCAAGTCCAATTTGGCAGAACAGTTTGACAATAAGGACTAGCTTTGCCAATTAATTTATGTGATGGACACTCTCCATAAAGTTAATGAGCTAAATCTGCAGCTCCAAAGTTTTGATGAAAATATATTTTAATCACAGATATGATATTCAGGACATTATCTAATACGTACTTTCCAACTACTTAAATTTATGATAAAAAATTTTAGATGTCAACTCAAAAAGAACCTTGCAGAATTCTTTCATGGAGTATATGAGCAAAAAAACAAGACTGATGCCACTAGTCAAGCTGGTTCTTTCCAGGTCAGAGTGCTCGTGAATTTTCTTGGTATCTTCTCTTTCCCCCTCTCTCTGCACCCAGTTCCATACCTCACTCTCCCTACCTTGCTTTACTGCCTTCTCAGTCATAGCATTTGAGAGTCCTTGGTCACTAGTGTTCAGTATCCTTTCAGCCCCCACAAATTAAAACACACCTGAAAAAAAAAACAGAAAAGAAGAGGGAGAAACTGTGGGAGCCAGGCATAAAGTCCCCAAAATATTTCCTAAATAATTCGACCATCTTACAGATGAGGGGACCAGGAAGAACAGACTGGATATCTCAACTGTTTCATAAAAATATAATGAACTCATTCTGTTCCCCATCTCCCCGTTGGGCTAATTTAATATTTCCTTCCCACTCAAAAGAGATAGATATGATATTCAAGGCCAAACAAAGTAGCAACTTTTCTTTTTAGTCTCTTTTTTTTTAATTTTAGTACAGTTGACATTTAATATTAGTTTTAGGCGTACAACATAGTGGTTCAACATTTACAGACATTACAAAATGATAGCCATAGTCTAGTCACCATTTGTGGCCATACAAAATTCTTACAATATCATTCACTATATTTCTTATGTTGTACTTGTCATCCCCATGACTTATTTATTTTATAACTGGAAGTTTGTACCTCTTAATCCCCTTCACCTATTTTCCCATTCCCTCATCCCCTCCCCCTCTGGAAACCACCCATTTATTCTCTGTATTTATGAGTCTGTTTCTGGTTTTTGTTACTTGTTTGCTTTGTTTTTTAGATTCCACATATAAGTGAAATCATGCAGTATTTGTCTTTGTCTGACTTATTTCACTTAACATAGCACCCTCTAGGTCCGTTCATGTTATCCTAAATTGCAAGATTTTCTTATTTTTAATGGCTATGTAATATTCCATCATGTAAATACACCACATCTTTATCCAGTCATTCATCAATGGACATCTAGGTTGCTTTCATATCTTGACTATCATGAATAATGCTGCAATGAACACAGGGGTGCATATGTCTTTTCAAATAGTGTTTTCAGGGGTGCCTGGGTGGCGCAGTCGGTTGAGCGTCCGACTTCAGCCAGGTCACGATCTCGCGGTCCGTGAGTTTGAGCCCCGCGTCGGGCTCTGGGCTGATGGCTCAGAGCCTGGAGCCTGTTTCCGATTCTGTGTCTCCCTCTCTCTCTGCCCCTCCCCCGTTCATGCTCTGTCTCTCTCTGTCCCAAAAATAAATAAATGTTGAAAAAAAATCTTTTTAAATAAAAAAAACAAAAAACAAAAAACAAAACAAATAGTGTTTTCAGTTTCTTCGAGGAAACACCCAGAAGTGGAATTACTGGATCATATGGTACTACTATTTTTAGGTTTTTGAGGAAGTTCCTCACTGTTTTCCAGAATGCAACCTTTCTTTTTAACTTTGTTTGTAATGCATTCCAGTGACACATTTCTCTCTCTCTCTTTTTTTTTTTTTTTTGTCCACAGTGACCACTGTTGGATGTAAAGATAAGAAGAAAAAAGTACTTAGATGTATAGATAAAGATAGATACATGTAGAGGCAGAGGTAGAGATATCTCCAATTCCCTTTGCTTTCTTTATAGAAGGTTGGAATGATGAGAATGTCTATTGTTATCAACAAACCTCAGAAAAGGAGATAAACTCCTGATGGCTCTGATTAGCTACACTAGCCAGTTGGCTTTTGCTCTAGACAAAATTTAAAAAATTTTCATCCCATGCGCCTTTGGTCATCTGGTGAATCCTTCTTTTTTTTCCCCCCTCTCTCTCTGCCCCTCCCCTGCTCACTCTCTCTCCCTCTCTTTCTAAAAATAAATAAATAAACACTTAAAAATATATAAAGTAGTAATTAGTGTAAATGATATTTTGAAATACCTGCAACAACTGTAATATGTTATAAAATATATATAATTTGGTGATGATTCACAGATACTGCCAATATTGTTGGCGTTTGTTGGCTATATATATAATAAAAGAAAATGTTACATTTCAATTAGAGTTTAGTGTAAATAAAGACTTCTGTTTTTTTTCCCCATCCAAATTCATGGATACCCTGCTCTAAATAAACTGTGATTCAGGATATATTTTGAAGGCCTTCCTACCTTCCTTTTTCTCCCTCTTTACTATTCTGGTTGACTCTTCCCTCCCAGAGCACCTACCCTAGGGTAGTTTCGATTAGCTGATGTAATGGCTCATGAACAACAACCACCATTCATTGACTGTCTACCATTTTGCATACATTACTTGTATGCCTTATAACAACCGTCCAAGATATTTTATGAATGAAACAACTGAAGCTCAGAGAGGTTAAATAACTTTCCCAAGGCAGCAAAGCAGAAGATTTGGTATTTAAACTCAGGTCTATATGGCTTAAAGCTTCTTCTCATTTCCACTACTTACACTGTCTCCTTTGGACTTAGAAATTTTGCATCTTAATAGGGAGTATAAAAACCAAATACTTTCAAGAAATAGATTTGTAATGGAATTTCAGGCATGATCAGAGGTAGAGCTATTCAGAAATGAGAAGTCTTTAGATACTCTCTACATCTTGCAATACCAGTGACTCTTCTCACTCACGGCCCCATTTCTGCAGAGAGGTAAGGAACAGGGTCAAACCATAGAAATCTAACCCTAATCCCTGTAAGGGCTGCACAAGTTACAGAATGTGTGGGCAGACAGAATGCTTTAATACCTTTGAAAGAAAAAGAGAGATTATGAAAAAGATATTTTTAACCTGGCTGACATTGTCAGTAGAGTTCTAGATGCATTCTGGGTGTTTTGTTTTAATTACTCCAGACATAGTAAAGAAACTATGATCTCTCCCTTATAAAGGAAGAACTGCGTGCCAAAAATGATTAAGAAAATGACATGGGGGGCACCTGGGTGGCTCAGTCAGTTAAGTGCCGGACTTCGGCTCAGGTCATGATCTCACAGTTTGTGGGTTCAAGCCCCACATTGGGCTCTGTGCTGAAAACTCAGAGCCTGGAGCCTGCTTTGGTTTCTGTGTCTCCCTCTCTCTCTGCCCCTCTCCCACTTTCTCTCTCTCTCTCTCAAAAATAAATAAACATTAAAAAATTAAAAAAAAAAAAAAGAAAATGACATGGAGGGCTTTCCACATCTGTGCAACTTCACCGTGGCTTTCTGTTGTTACAAGTAGATTTCCCAAATCCTAAAAGGAAGAAAGTGTTGGGCAGAGGAAGGAGGGCATCTGAAACACTTTCACAGACTAAGTTCGCAAACAACTTGAAGGCAGCGTCCTCGCATCAGACTATAAGCCTCCCACGGGAAGGGATCGCATCTTTGGCATGTCTATACTCCTGAGCAGCCAGAGCAGGGTCTGGAACAGAAGAGGCTCACAGTGATTGTTTAACTGAACTAGGGCAGTACCAGCCTGGGAACTTCCTGTGTAACCCTTCAGGGCATGCAGGCATTTCCCTGTCAGTAAAGGACACTCAGTGCTTCTAGCAGGTTGGTTTCCAGGCATAAACATCTGGACAATGCTGTCTTATTAACCATTGAGATGATGCACCTCTTTATGTCTTCCTTTTATCCTTCTCTCCTACCATGCTTCTTTCTACTTTAAGGCAGAACTGGTAAGTATTATACCTACTACAACCTCTGGATGACAGATCTCATCTGACTTTTTACTAATATTTGTCAAGCTCAAACATATGGTATTCTATTGAGTGCATTAGAAAATTAAGATGGATGGGAATGGTTTATCTCTAATGGTTTTTATACCACAAACATTACAAAAAAAAAATCTGCACTAGTGTCCAACTAAATTTTCTCCAGTCTGCCTTATCTAGCATTAAGTCTAAGAAGCCTTACAACAAATATTCATTAAGCACTTATTCTGAGCTTTGTACTATTCTTGGTACAAGGAGTAGGGAATACAGTGTGATAAGTGCTGAGCAGCAGTATCAGTGAAGATCTACAAATGAACAAAGAAGTAATACATTTTTGTAGCACTTCCTATTTTTTAAATTACTTTCACACATACTAGCTCATGTTTTTCTCAAGGCCACGTTTTGTTCCCTAGGTGGTAAGTACAGCAGGTATTATTAGCAAGTATTAACAAGGCCATAGAACTTCCCCAAGTTCTGGCAGTGTGTCAGTAGGAGACCTAAAACTAGAATCCAAACCACAAAGATCTAGCCCAGAACTTGAGACACAATCTTCACAATCCATTCCTTCTCCAGGCAGATTGTTTTCCCATATAACAGTGTCATTCCATAAAACTGTGCATATATTCTGAGATCTCATAATCCCACTCACAATGGAGACCTTTGTCGTTCGACATCTGCCCCAAAGTTCCACATGCAATTATTCTGCCAGGTCAATGAATAGAAATGGTTAACAAACTATGAATTCATACTTAGGGATTCCACTTATCTGTTGTTGATGATTTTGTCTATCAGGAATTTGGGCTGGGCTCAGCTGGGTGATTCACCTATTCCACATGATGTTGACGGTGATCATACTGCTGCATTCAGCTGACAGATGGCCTCAATCACATGTCTGGCACCTTATAGGGGAAGGCAAGTGGCTGTAACACTGGGACTATCAGCCAGAGCACTTGAACATGACCCTGCCAGTATGGCAGCTTCAGGGTAATAGGACTTCTTGCGTAGAGTCTCAGGGCTCAAGAGTGAGAGGTAGAAGTTCCATGTCTTTTGTGACCTAGCCTCAGAAGTGACATAGCATCACTTCCATAATATTCTTTTGGCCAAAGCAGTCACAAGCCTGTCCCAATTCAACAGAAGAGGCATAGACCCCTATGTCTTCATAAGAAGGGCATCAAAGGACTCATGGCCATGTTTTAAAATACATACGGGTTTCTTATAATTCCTTTTCTTGGCCAAGAGTTATTTCCATTTCCATCCCACCCATTTCTTCTTCTCAGTCACCCAAGTTTTCTAGCCTTCCTCTACCTGTTCTGCACACTCTGAATGTTCCTGTCCCTTGTAGTGTTGCATTGGATGGTCACCTCCTGAATTGTACCCTCAGTACACAAGATTCTCAGTCACTGGCTATGGCTACATGAGGTATACACAAGGGACTGAGTCCCCATTACGTTTCCTTTCTTTTTTCCTTTAAAAAAAATTTTTTTATTGTCTAATTTACATCCAAGTTAGTTAGCATATGGTGTCCATTACGTTTATTTAAAGGTGCTGTTGCTGGCTGTTTGGTGCCAGGAATGGCTTTTCTCTCCATTGGTGCTGCTTTTGCATTACTCAGTCCCTGAGGCATCCTGCTACTTCCTTGTACACATGTCAGCTCTGAACTGATCTCTGCCAATTGAAAGTGGACTGTCAGAGTTGAGCCTTTACCAATAAGAGGTTTTGTACTTAACAGTACACTTGAGATTGAAGTGCAAAGTGGATAAGAATACAAGATTTGGGATCAGAAAGATCTGGATCTCTAATCCCTGCATCATCACTCACCGTGTGACCTCGTCCAAGCTACTTAATATTGCTAAGACTTGGTTTCCTAGTCTGTAAAATGGAGACAAAGAGATATACTTCATAGGGTTGTCAAAGGAATTAAAAGGGACTATGTAGAAAGAGCAATTATCACATTGCCTGTTACTCAGTAAATACCCACTAAATGCTAATGTTAGGAGTAGTAGCAGTGGTAATTAACAGTATCTAACTGGTAAAGGACCATGACGATATAAAGTAAAGTACTCATGAACATGCAAATGAGTTTTTAAAGCTCCAGTCCTTTCTCTATAGGTGCATAAACTGGACTCAAAGAAAATCTGTGTACGAATATGGGTATGGACATAATTATACACGTGTTAAGTCAAAATAATTTTTTCTTTCCACCAAGTATATTTTATTTATATTTCTTAAATGTCCAGATAGGTATTTTTCTATCAGTCATTCACACCAGCTTTTTAAGTAATTTTTACTGAGAGAATCTACCTGTCTTGGAAAAGCATTCAAATTCAGTGGTTGGTCTCAGCAGATCACAAAGAATATGGCATGATGAAAATGTCTCCAGGGCATCATAAAGTAACACTTCGATATTTAAGATGTCTGGATTTACTCCAAGGACTGAGACAGACTGCCTATCACCAGCTCAGCTTCAAAATATAGTTCTTGGCTCCAGTCTGCAGTTCAATGAATGTGATCAGTGCAAATACAAGGTGAATAAATCTTAAAGATACTGAACTAAGTTCTTTCCCAAGACAAGAACACAAGGGACAAGACCATCTTGATTAATCGATGCCCATGCTAGTATTTCATCTTGGACTAGCTGATGTGAAAGTTCATGTTATTGACTCCCTACTTGAATCTTCCTTGGAAAAAAGCAATATTCTGCGTTGAATTGGTTATTATCACAACACCGTCTCCATAGTTAAGATCTGTCAATATTCCTTTATCTGGGAGATGCTTAAGGTTCAAGGTTTTACTGGTCCTGACATGAAGTAATCTGCATTACAATTCATGTCACTTACACAGTTCAACCTTTCTGGACAAGTAAGAGTCCTCCCAACGAGGACTATATTTACCTACCATTCATCTACAGCTGTGCAGAGGAAACTGGGTGGAGGATAGAGTTAAGGACATTTTAGGGAGTCTGAAATTTTACTTCTCAATAGACAGCAAAGGACTGGAGGAAACATGAAAAGTTCCTAGGTTTGGTGTAAGTAGAGTGTATTAATTACCTAGGGCTGCCATAACAAGGTACCATAAACTGAGTGGCCTATCGTCTCATAGTTCTGAAGGCTGCAAGTCCAAAATCAAAGTGTCAACAGGATTGGTTCCTCCTAAGAGCTATGAGAAAGAATCTGTTCCATGGCTCTCCTAGTTTCTGGTGGCCCCAGGCATTCCTTGGCTTATGGCTTCCTAACTCCAATTTCTGCCCCCATCTTCACATAGCCGTTTTCTCCTGTGTGGATTTACATCATCTTCCCTCCATGCATGCCTATCTCTGTGTCCAAATTTCTTTTACATAGGGACATTTGTCATATTGGATTAGGGCCCAGTCTAATGATCTCATTTTAACTCAGTTACCTCTACAAAGAACCTATTTCCAAATATTCTGAGGACCTGGGGGTTAGGACTTCACAAATCCTTTTTGGGAGACACTATTTAATCCATAATATATAGTAGGCAAAACTTTGAGCAAAACAGAATAAGGAAATGGTGCAGTCATATTACAGCAATGGGGGGCCCAGGAAAAATGCCAAAGTAATATAAAATATTCCCATTCTACTGTTCTAAAACCATCTCTCCATTGGTTAGTCTCCTTTTCTGCAAGCCACCATGTACATCATTCCACTTTCAATCTCTGTAATTCAAAGCAAAGAAAACAGTTCTCCCAGTTCTGTTCTGGGAAATCTAGCTGAACCAAATACGTTCATCTGTTAGGTACAAGGTTCCCCTAAGTTTTCTGTATTTGTTATTTCTTTAGCAAGAGAATTTGGAATAACTCGCAGCCCCTTGCTTTGTATCTTATTTTGCTAAGAGTAATACATGTGCATGGTAATTATCATTAGACATGCGTTAGTTGTAAATTGATAAAAACCCTTCCAAATGCTGGAACAGTGACCTCATCCTTCTCAGAAGAATGTTTTTCCTCTCTTCACCTCTAGCCTCTACTTCTTAGAACCAACACCATTCAGGAAAGGTTTATATAAAGAACCTACAGTACTTATGATGTTCTTAGGCCATAAATAATGCCTCTGCCACAGACTAGGCTCCTGGAAATGGACTTCCAGTTTCTCTCAAGTACACTTCAAGGAAGAACACTATGAATCTGGGAATATCCCCTTCTTTTACCAAAAGAACATATTTTAAGATT